AATAAATAAATAAATAAATAAATAAATAAATAAATAAATAAATAAATAAATAAATAAATAAATAAATAAATAAAAACTTACACGTTCAGGGTGGTCCAACATTTGTTCATCTATACTGTAATGATACGATTGAATTTGTAAATTGTTTAGGTTTAACAGATTCTGGAGATGAAGGTACTTTTCGGTGGATTGACGGCAACCCAATGAGTTACACTGATTGGTGAGTATGTTGAAATCAGTAGCAGTAATAACATCATTAACAACATCGTTATACAATTGTTCAATAACGATCACACATATTAGTGCCAGCACATTGTATCAATTGCGTAGGGCTGAAGCAAACGAACGCAGTGGAGAAGAGAAACAACCGGATGGTGGAATATTCGAAGACTGTGGTCTATATAGATTGTCCAACATACATTCTACCAATCACTGGCATGACGTGGCCTGTGCCTATGATTACGTCAGGCAATATATTTGCAAGACGAAAGCGACATATATAGGTACGATGACGTCATGATTATCATAATTTACGAATAGAATATTGTAATCAATGTGTATCGAAGTTCAAAAAGTGTATGCAGAATTTTACATATTCCAAAGGTTTTTCCTCAACATAGTTCGTTCAGGAGGAGATATCACCAGAAATTAGGTAATTATTTACAATAGAACAAGAGAGGAACTTGTACATAAACCACCAAGACTAGGTTTCTAAAGATGAGGTTGATGGACAAATATTATATGTTGATTTGTTTAAAAAGTGGATATTACTCATATATTTAGTTTAAATCGGATAACATTGTTGATTTTACAGACCCTGACCAGAAGGATATCTCATATTCTGGAATCAATCAACTTGGTATGTATAACTCACTATTGTACTGTGGAATAAACATGTCTTCTACTTAAAGCGGGGGAGTCGTCACCTGTGCATGCGTCAGATGGTCATAGCATGTCATTGTATATAAACAATCGTTTCCCCATGAACCTTTGCGTTTTTAGCGTGTGTTGTTATCGTCGCTTCAACTCAATTCCCGCGCGTGCGCAGGTGACGACCCTCCCGCTTTAATGGCACGACACGACACAACATAGAAACAAAGAATAACGTAACGTAACGTAACACGTCCAAAATATTATTCAATTTGTCCCCGCATCTAGGATGTGATAGTGGTTGGAGTTTAATGGGGTCGTCGTGCGTGGACCTTAAACCAAATACAGACAATACAAATGTGGTGCTGTCCTGGGAGGACGCCAAGACACAGTGTGGAATACACGGAGCAATACCCCTCTGTATTACATCAATTGCCATCCAAGAGCAAGTTGAATATTTATTAAATGTTATATGGGCACCAGTCAGTAACGGCATGGTATGGATTGGACTAAGACAAGATGAGGGTAGTAAAGATACTACATGTATAACTGGGGAAGTTGTGAAGTACGATAATTGGGAGAGTGATGATAATGGTATCAGTAGTGATGACAGTGACGTGTGTGCCTTGATGACTGAACAATTCAGCTGGGAATGGAAAATGGTACCTTGTAAAATGCAGCTGACACCGTTTTATATATGTGAAAAACCTTCGAATCGTAAGATTGTCTTGTTTTTCGGTTACTCGCTTTTCTGTTGCATTATAAGTCGGCATGTAAACATTTTGTGCACTTGCGTTACACTTGAATCAGAAAAACGAAACAAAATGCTAGACAATGTATCTTAATATAACAATAAATTAATGTAATTCTAGAAATGGACGACTGCGGCATATACTTGTATAGATGCCAAAATGGCGAATGCATACTTCCGGTTTACGAGTGTGACGGCTTTGTTGATTGTTTTGATGAATCTGATGAACTTGATTGCCGTAAGTAATAATACAGCATGATATGAACAAAAACTACATCCGTTATAGCAATTTGTATTTCATATGGATGCGTGTGTGAGGAGAGGGTACATGCATATACACATTTACATAATACGTGGTTTATTTGGACAGTTATTATTAGTTGGACATTATTTCTGACATGTCAATTGCAGAGACGGAGTGTTCTAATACTAGCTATACTTGTGCAAATGGGCGATGTATATCTATGACGTTTTATTGTGATTTCAAAAATGACTGTGGCGATAACTCCGATGAATTAAACTGTGGTAAGTATGATATTTCCAGTGATTGTATCCAAATTGGCCATTGAGAGTACCAGGCAGTTGAGTGGTAGTTTAGATAAAATCTGTTAAATGATCTCACATATATCAATAATCATCAGCCGACGTGTACGATGACAATCGTGTGAAATTTGAAAAGTCGATCGATCACTCACTCAATATGCGATATTGGCCTGCCATTTAAACTTGATTTAAAATTACGCCTTATGCTACGATTACGTTATTTCAATGCTATATTATTTGAATGATTCTGATTTTCTCGTTAGTTTTACGTAATTGTACAGATACAGAATTCGAATGTCTTAATGGTGAGTGTATCGAAATACAGCTACGATGTGATTTTGTAATTCATTGTACAGATGGTTCAGACGAAATAAACTGCGGTGAGTGGTCGCTGTGTTACTGTGCCATGCGTACATTTAAATTTATTACATTGCGGTACATCACTGCAATACGTTGTGTTTTTGTTATCATTTTTCGATTGGCTTTTGTTTTTCTACGACTTGTAATTTGACTTGCGGCTGAGAATTCCCATTGGGTATCTTACTTATTTCCACCTAAACGTCTTCATTTTCTTTAGAAAATATTTGTCCCGAGCCTCCAGGCTTCTTGTGTTATAATGGAGAATGTATTCCAGACCACAAGGTGTGCGATGGGGTTTATGATTGCCAGGGTCTTTTACGCGAGGACGAAAAAGATTGTCAGCGTAAGTTTAATTGTACATATAATATCATTCCACTGCGTGTTTTCACAGAGTTACATCAAATGAATTCAACAACATCGAATAACCTATTACATAATACCACTAACACAAATTGAAATTACATTTTGCTAATGGTTTTTAGTACGTACATTATTGTCAGTTTTAAAACGTCGTTTTCCGTCATGTATTTAGTGGGATCGGTGTGTGCTGGTGAACAGTTTCACTGCCAGAATGACTACTGCATTGACAGGCAGTACATGTGTAAATACTATTTTGATGAGCAGCGGACACAGAGAGGTTGCCGGGATGCAACTCATATCAGATTTTGCGGTAAGTGAAAATAATAAACATGGATAAGTATTATTTTATATTTAACGAGCGCATTTTTGTGAGAAAAACAGTGCCCAACAACTCGACAACACCATGAACTTCAAATGTTCAAATAACGACTTATTCTCTTCTACAGAGCCATTTGAATGTGACTATACCAGCTTTAAGTGTCCCCATAGTTACTGTATCCCACTGCACAGACGATGTGATGGAGTTGATGATTGTCCATATGGAGCAGATGAATTAAACTGTGGTATGTAAACACACGTCTGTGTACTGAATCATGTCGTCTTAAATTCATACTACTGGCAAGGGATTCATCAAACGCTAGATATTCACCACACGCTTAGAACTAGAAGCTTATATCAAAATACCTACGCTTACTTTCCGAAGAATAGATTACTTCCAAATGACAAGGCTTATTACTTTTTTACAGCGGATAAAAATAAGATGTTCATTAAAATAAATGATGAAGATCCCAATTATACTTTTCTGATCATTAAGATATTAGTCTTCACTAAAAATATAAAATGACATATCTCAGCAGTGCCATTCTTTAAAGTGGTACTGTCGGTAGAGCTACTAATACGGTGGTATCGCACTGCTGCATTATTATTAATCGCCTGCATTACGCGATACGCTCATTCAAACTCATTACGTTTGTAACGTGATTGTAACCAGTATTTTAACGTCACATATTCCAATACGTAATTTGGTTTTACCACGTTTTGTGTATTTTCTTGTATGTGAATGCCTATATGGCCACGACCTCTCTGAACACTAGCCACTAAGTTTTCCCTACACGAATATTGCAACATTAGTGTCGCTTCGATTTACTTCATAGAACACATTCACTTCACAGTAACAATATTGTCAAAATCGTCACGTGTGTGGAATGTTGAGAATCAAGAATACATGACAAACGAGCAACAAAGTTAACTTCGTGACATATATGTGCTAGCATTTGGATCGTTAAACGACGTATTTATTAAGTGTGTTGTTAGTATAGACTTGTTTTTTGAAAAAAATACTCTACCCTACAGATGAGTATACATGCGCAGGATACTACAGATGCCATGGTCAAAAATACTGTATACCCTCAATTCATCGATGTGATGGAATACGACAGTGTGAAGAAGGCGATGATGAATTCCTCTGCGGTAAGTATCGTTTTAACTGTAATTTATAAGAGCAACATTTATTTTAATATCGGTCATTCAATAAATGCACCTGCAAGTAGCTCTTTGTTGTTTAAGTGTTGTACAAGTATTGTCTACGTTTTTTTTTAACCACACGCACGTCCAGATTTTTTTAATCTGACACAAATCTGTTGTTGGTGTTCTAGATATAGTCTGTCCAGACCAATGCACATGCACAGGTTTGACTGTTGATTGTACTGGTAAAAACCTCACTGCCATCCCCGCAGATATTCCAGACAATGTAAAACGACTGTAAGTATAATATTATCATAACATTCGTATTAAAAATCATCATCAATGTTTAATCGTGATCGATATGATACCACATTCTGCAAGCCTATCTAACATTTAGTTAAATTGTCTTACAGTGATTTTGGTGGCAACTATCTCAACTTAACTACCAGTGATTTCAGTAGATTTGCATCACTTGGAGAATTGTAAGTAATCTGTGATCGAACTATAAATATATAGAATTTCGTACAATTTGGACAGGGATACATTAGAAATAGCTTCTTATTATTATTCACAAATAATAATATATGTTATGTGCTGTTACTCCCTTATTATATTGTATTATACATTCATTTATATACAGGGATTTGTCAGAAAACGGGATAAACAAAATTCCAGTCGCAATATTTCAACCTCTCAAGAATCTGTATAAATTGTACGTATTTTCTTTTCTATAAGACGTTTGCTGTGTGTGGTATCTCCTGATTGCAAGTGTTTGCTTCTGTAAAATAATATTGATATTAAACGTTATAAGTCCAGCGTCCAGGAATACAAAACAACACACAGACGTAATATTGTGTACAGTTAAATATTCTATATATCATGAATTGAAATGAATAAAGACAAGTGAAAACTAATATGTGATGTGTAAACAATGCATTGTCCAGCGTGACTATACGCCACTGCATAAACAGATTTACATAAAAGATAAAGTGTATTTATTCATGAACAATCATTTACTTTGAAATACAATGCAATTATCAAATACCATATAGATCGCATGTGGAAAACTATAAAACATTGGTGAGATGTTAGTATTGTTCATAGCTACTAAGGTTAAACTATTTCCTTCTTTTCACCAGGGACTTGACTTCTAATGATGTCAGTATTTTAAATGCTCACACTTTTGCTGGACTTAGTCAATTAGATGAACTGTAAGTACCTTACATTGTTATATTTGTAGAGTGAAATGTTTTAAAAAACCTGTCATATTACCAAATGGGGGAGGGGGGGTCGCCCAAGCCCAGTGTATTTCTCGAGGCCGTAGGCTATTTCAAACATTACGTCGCTTTGTGAACAGTTCATTATGTGCGGGTGAAAGCGTGATCCTATATAACTCCATGTGACCTCGTATTGACCAATCATGGTACAGAGTCTTGATATGGTGTGTTATAATGTTTAATAAACTAACCAATAAACACATTTCAGACTCTTGACAGATAACCCAATCGAAGATATATCACCGAATGCATTTCTAGGCTTGTATCAGTTACACAGTCTGTAAGTAACCTAAATACATTAATGATATAACTATCACAAATCTAGTGGTATAAATAGTATTATTATTTAAATAATTATTGTGAGAAATTGTATTTTTCCCCAGAAATCTTACATCGATGAATATTCACCATCTTGCATCGGATACTTTTAGCGGTCTGCAGCAGTTAACATATTTGTGAGTAATATTAAAATCGTTTCATGAAAAAGCAAAAAGCTTTTCAAAATACCAATCGAAATGTTTGTTAATTCACATGTACTTGAGTAATAATACAACATATGCTTTTCTCTAGAAATTTATCTGGCAATAACATGGAGTACATTGACAATGGAGCATTCGAGGCTCTGCTCCAACTACGAACATTGTAAGTCTTATATTCTATAACAATATTTGACAAACTGTCCATGTGCGAGGTGTTAACAGGAGATATTACCACCTATTATGGTTTACCCATAATCCCGAGTGTATGCGTAGCGGAGAAGGCGATGTATCTTTTAATGATTATTCTTTGACAAAATCTTAAATCTTAAAACGATGTGTGTCAGCGAAGATCATTCACATATAGTTGAGCATATATATTCTTTATCGAATGTTTTCACATGATCTGAAACGGTGTATGACGTCACGTCATGCTAAAAATGGACGACTGTGTACATTATATTATTGTTTTGCGTGAATATCACCACATTTTTTATACATTCAACCAACTATTATTCTACAATTTAGATCAGACTTGTCATGATCTTGTGGTTAGCATTATATCTTGTTCAGTGGAAAATAAATCAGATAGAAAAAAGAATTAGTGGTTCTTAGTATGATATTAATTGTTGTTCCCCCATTAGTCATTAAAACTTAATGTGGATAACAACTCACTATTTTTAATAATGTTTATCTTGCATAGGGATTTAAGAGTTGGTGATTTCAGTGTTGGCAGTCAAGACTTGTTCGATCCTCTTGAAAACCTGAAATACCTGTAAGTATCACCCATTTTGTACTCGCATCTGAGAACAACCACACAAAGTACATATTTTCCGGCAAGTATATCAAAGTCAAGATGTCCTTGCCTCAGATAGTAAATACACACTTATAAACTTCTCAACAACCAGCAAGTTTGTGGTATTAATTACACTAATTGTTGGCATACAGTCAGTGAACCATTTCAAAGAACAATGCTTTAGTTTGCAAATGAAACGGAACGTAATAATATGCCAGGTGCACGGCCGTAAGCTTTACGACTTTAAGTCCAGGAGACACCACAGGACATACGGGTGTTGTGAGGATGTAGCCCGTGACAATCCCAATGCCCAGTGTGTTAGCTATTGGCTGCTTTAATGTAATTGGTTCAATGCAAGGTGAATATAATTTCCTTATCAACAAAATAATCACTCTATAATTTCCATCTGTTGACAGTGACCATTAAAAAGCCAAGCCCACACCTGATTTACAACATCACAGGTTAAATAACCCGACCCTATGAACAACACACTGACACTTTCAGGACAGGTGTTTTAAAGTGTGTAGTGAGAGTAATATAGCCAGTAACACCATGGCGTGTCTCTTTTTAATGCTAGAAATCACGAGCAGCTACGCGGTCGCTGATTGGTCACTCACGCTGACAATAACTTAGCCAGTGTATACAGTTTGATACAGTATGTAACACATACATCAATAAATAGGAACCCGAATTCACAGAAATTTTGAAATTATAGTAGTTCTTTATTTTTAATAATTACTTTATTTTTGCTCGGTAATACCCGCTATTATTAGGAAACTATTTTAACCGACCGGTTTTCATTTCTTACTATAGTTATACAGACAACTATAAATATTGCTGCATGGCTGAGAATTCGAGGCCATTAGACCTGTGCACACCCCCTGCAGACCAATTCTCATCATGTGAAGATTTGCTGTCCAACCAAGTATTGCGTGTATGTATGTGGATGTTAGGACTATTGGCGTTCCTTGGCAACCTCTTTGTCATCATTTGGAGACTATCGCAAAAAGAAAAGAACCGTGTTCATTCTTACCTTATTTTGAATCTCGGGATATCTGATTTCTGCATGGGAGTGTACATGTTGATTATCGCTTCGGTAGATATGTACTATAGAGGGCGATATATTGGATTTGCAGACGAGTGGCGTCATAGTGAACTGTGTGAGTTTGCCGGATTTCTTTCTATGCTGTCCAGCGAAGTGTCGGTGTTCACGCTGACTGTAATAACTGTTGATAGATTCTGTTGCATTGTATTCCCGTTTAAATTTAGAAGACTGAAAGCGAAGACGGCAATCAGAGTAATAAGTTGTGGTTGGATTCTAGTTCGCCATGCTCAGCCTACTTCCTCTGTCTGGCATCCCTTACTTCCAAGACCAATATTACGCTCGGTCAGGTGTTTGTTTGTCGCTTCATCTCACTAGTGAAGCATATCCCGGATGGCAGTACTCCGTAGCGATATTTATAGCAGCTAATTTCGTATCATTCATGACTATATTGTTCGCGTATATCGCCATGTATGCCGTGGTGAGACGAAGCCGTAACGCGGTAGGATCGTCGCAAAGCCGTAACGACATCGCCATGGCAAGAAGGATGACACTCATTGTTCTCACCGACTTCTGTTGCTGGATCCCTATTATACTCATGGGTACGCTGGCTTTAACAGACACCGCTGTCATTCCTTCTCAAATGTACGCCTGGACTGCAGTCTTCATATTACCATTGAACAGCGCCATGAACCCTATCTTATACACAATATCAACTATTCGCATGAAATCAAGACAGAGTTCATCGGCGGATGGCGGCGTTGGTGGCGGGGGCAGTGGCTCCGATAATCCCAATTCTTTGAAGAAAATAGTTGATAGCGCTGGGGCGATATACAAAAGACGAAAACCATCTCTTATCACCACTGCATCCGGACAAATTGCCTACAAGTTAGAGGAGACATTTGGACACGGTGAGGAGAAATCATGTAATCCTACTTTTGTTTATATGCACATATTCTCAGATGCAGATTGTATGTATTAAAGTTTGCAGCATAGATGAAATGTTTATAGCCTGATTTGAAAATTATATAATGTATTAAACAGTTACTAAAGCGTTCTTAATTGTTCATACTCAACTAATAATTTGTACATTTGTATACGCGCATATGCAGTTCAGTATTGAGTAATTGCTGAATAGAGACACGGTGATTAAAAGAGAAGGGTCGTCACCTGCGCACGCGCTAAAAACGAAAAGGCTCATGGCTAGATGCTTGTTTGTAAACAATAACACGCAGTGGCCATCTGACGCATGCGCAGGTGACGACTCTCCCGCTTCAACTTGTATTATTCATGAACAAAATCAAAATTAGGCCACTCGTATTATATTTAAATGCTTGTTTACATTTGGCTTTAATTTTCAAATTGCCAGCTTTCATACCAAAATAATATTGGCCCCTTTCGCATCAAATATTTACCTGCGCATCGGCTGCCTAAATGGTCGCATATGATGGCAGTTACAGATATCCGCCGTCAAATATGTATGCTGTCATAGTTACTATCTGAGGTAACATCTGAGCGGTGCCAAACAACCACTGGGCGTAAACACCAGGAGTTTAAAGTAACAACGTTATGATTGTTTCCTCAATGAGCACTTTGTGGTTTTTACAATAGTGCAACAATGTTTCTATTTATATAAATAAACTAGTGTTCGAACTAAACGGTTATTGCATTCCCTACTTGAGCTACACCACAATCATCTGGGGGCTGAAAATGAATACATACTATTTTTTTTAAAAAGTCATCCGCTATACGCATATAAATGAACAAGTTATTAAACATGGCCCCTGTGAAACCGAAATGTCGATTCCTCGCCTTAAAGATCGGTGGTCATCGCGCAGCGCGTGTTAGAGTTTCATGTAAATAAACAACGTATTTTACACGCGTTGTATACGTCGCTATGAGTCCCGTATCGAACAGGACGCGGCACGACGACTGCCGCCCTTTAAAATGCGAAGGAAGTAAGTCTGCGCACTTGATTTACCCAGAACTCTGTGCGAATTCCCCGCTCCTTGATTCTGGCTGCTGGCCATTTTCATTCATGAAATCGTCGGATACCATCAGAAAACGCAGGATTTGTGCAGTTTTGAATAAAAGCAAGTTAGCAAATATGAACAATGGTTATTAACGTAGCAGCGGATCCCCTCTTAACATTTTTTCAAACCAAAGCTATTTACCAAACCTCAGACCGAACTTGCCCGGCCCATGACTGGTTGACGTCATCATCGCCAGTCAAGGATCATTTATTCGGCCGTCGCTTCATAGACCCTGGATGCGAAACCCACAGTTAGCTGGCGCACATGTGATAATAAAATAAATGGGGGCCGCCATAAAACTACATATGTCGTATTTAAGATGGCAGCCCCATATAGTAAATATCGCATTTATTTTATTATCACTTGTGCGCCAGCTGACCGTGCGAAACGGACGATGAGCTGACGTATGGCTACAGTTTTAGAAATGCAAATGGAAACGTTTACACTATTGTAAAAATCTTACGAAGCTTATCGGGTAAATTCATAATACTAGTAGTATTACTATACACTCCGTTGGCGACTACACCGAGTGGTCGTTTCGCTCCGCTCAGGTGTTACGGTCATTATCTGTTTACTCCGTTAATAAAGTAAAGTACTGCTGGAATAAACAGATACAGACCGTGACACATCAAAAACATATCAATAATGACATTTATCGGCACTAGTAGCTTGGTCATATATTAATATATATCATAAATACATGATCATACCACAATTACGAATTATAGTTGAGTTTGCTAGGGTCGACGAATTACCGAAATATATAGATATAAATGTACGGTTTATTACATAACAACACTACGGGTCAAATACAGTCACACTCGAGTAAGCTATGTTATAAAAATATGTTGTTTTTGCAGACATGGCACTAAAACGGCTGCAAGATGTCCGTCTCAGTAGAGTTGTTCCACACAAAGGCATGGATTCGATAGTGCTGACGAGATATCTACACAACCCAGAAATACCATTTCTATCTGTGGCAGATGCATACAGCATAGCCATGGACGTGGCCTCGGCTTTGGAATATCTCCATAGAAACAAAATTATTCATAGGAGCGTTAATGAAGATCACGTATTGGTATCAAGATCGCCTATGGTAGGTTTAATGATATTATGCATTTGTTAAATATAACCTATTTTCAAGGACAACACAAATAATGTTGCGTTAAACAACCTTTAATTAGTTTAAGTGCCCATTGTAATACAAATGTGTTCTGAGTCAGAAATAAATCATTGTTTAGATACAATGAATAATTGTAATATTAGCTTTTGATACAATTCGTCAGTATTAATTTAAGCGACAGATTTGGCGACACTGATTATGATTTTACTCTGATGGGATGTTCTTATTATATACTGTGTGCCACACATGGAAGACGTTTTTGTAATCAGCATACTAATTAGGGTAATTTACATTTATTTTAACCATTGTTAGCATGCGCTGTGGCCTATTGGGTCAGGTCGATGTGCGCAAATGAAGTTCAGTTTTGTTCATTTAGTTGTTTCAATGTTATTGTTTCGCATTTGTGGGCACGCATATGTACCTTTTTGAGAGTTGTGTTTGTTTCATATAGTAACAGACCCATAGAGATACGTCTCATGCAAAAGGTGTAGAAAAGGTGGACACCTATTAGATTGTTTACATTTCCGAAATCACAAGAATTAGTTCTGTGTGGTTATTATATCTATTCTGAAAATACTCATTGTATATATATTATATTATATTACGTGTTATTATTTTGTTGCAGGATCCCACTTTAACGGCCTTCATCACAGATATATCAGCCGCAAAACAAATTAAGAATAATAGCTCGAAAAACCCTTTCATGACTGATATATTTGATTATGGGAAATTTGTCGACCGTTTACTTGATCGCCTAAATTTATCGCAAGAATTTAATGTATCGCGAGATTTGAACGCATTCCGAGAACTGAATGTATCGCGAGATTTGAATGTTGATATAGTATCATGTGCATCAGATGACTACTCACATGGAAATGATAAATTTATGCCATACGATGCTGACGTTGAGGGCGATGACGAAGAAGCTGATGATGAAATGAATGGAACGTTGTGCGTCTTTGCAAAGAACAGGGTAAAACATGTCGGGTTTATACCAACGGTAGAAAATATTGATGACATTGAATCAAGCGAAGAATATGAAATGATGGAAAGAAATAATGAAGTCATAGAACAAACTAACGAACTATTTGAGCGAGTTAGTAATGATATGGTCATACAAAAACATATAATGAATCAGGGTAATAATGTATGCGTTGAGCAGAGTACAGAAACTGTAGGTGAAGAACTGTCACGCGTAAACGAGGAAAGTACTATGACGGCATACTCTGAACAAGTTGAAATCCGTGACGTTGAACAAAATGGTGATGCTTTGGACGATTTTAACGTTGAACTGAGTGATTTTCTTTTGGTCGAAAAGAAACTACCCGATGCAACGCCAAATTTAGTTATGGAAGCCAACCAGACAACTGAACACACGAATAACGTACACAAAATCGATACACATAAGAGTGATATCATGGCTGAGGATGTCACTGCAGAATTAGACCATGTTATTGCAATTGCAGCATCGGAAGTAAACGAGTATGTTCAACAAAGTTTTGAAAACATTAAACCTTATAAAGTGGAGCAAACCAATGAACCATTATATTTGAAAAAACAATTAAATGACACAGCTGCGAGAAATCTTATTGGTCTGGCAAATATAGATGTTGATTCACATGTAAGTATGCTTGTGAATCATGAGAAGGAAGTTGCACATGTTAGTAAGGATGCTGAATTATATGGTGACGCTATTTATAGTATAAGAGACGTCAGTTCAGATATGAACCTCTGTGAACCAACCAAGTTACTTGAAGAGACAGTTGGTCTTGATAATGCGAAAAACACTTCAAATATCGAAAATAATTTGGCTGACGAATGTAATTTGGGAAATGATAAATCAAAAGATCCAACTTTGACTCTGGACGTAAATGCTGATGAACATATTAATGAAATTAAAAAACAAAATACAGAACATAAAAATACAATCTCTAACCCCAAATTTCTTGAAATATTTGAGGAGAGAAAAACACAGGAGTCTGAAGTCGAGGAGTGTGAATGTAGTGACACAGAGACGCATACTGGTGATCTTAGCAACAATGATATTATGCAAGCTGAGGAGTGTGTATGTAGGGATACAGAAACACCTGTTGGAGATGATAACAGCAATGACATTATGCAAGAGCAAAATAATAGCATTGTATTTTATATATAGTGATATTATATGATAAAAATCATTTATATATTTTTGTAGGTATTTTTTGACCTATGTGTTTTGGTACATGTGTATAAAGTAAGTAGACAATCCATATTTCATCCAGAATACTGTTTTGAACTTTAAACGCACCACGGTTTAGTCAATTAAAAAAGTGAAATAGTGAATGATATATCTTATTTATTCTATATGGTCTGTATTAATTTACTTCGGTTTTTAAACGTGTGACAATTTATCCACCTCTTTCCGTAATTTTATTGCGTGAAAAGTACAGGCAGCCTGGAGAATATCGTATCATTAGTCGCCATAAGTTCGTAACATGTACTGGTTGTGGAAGGATTTAAAAAGATAGCTGAAATGTATTGAAACAGAATGAAATTATTGATTGTTTTTATTTAAGATTATAACAATTGAACTTTTTGTTGTTGTTGATGTGGCATCTTATACAATAATTGCAAATGTTGACAGTGTTGAAACATTGCTTTCTATGTGTTATACTAGTCTTGCGGTAAGAAGGGAGACGCATTGTTGTGAAATGTCCAAATCTGAGAATAAAGATGTCACTCACGATACTCGGTCGTGAATGTCGGACCATGGTAATAATTGCCAAATGTCGTAATTACCCCCGGAAGGTAGATGGCCACAGTTATGTCACTTTTAGGCTTTGCCTACAAACGAACTGTCGCCTGGCATAACGAATGTTCACATCACTCTGCACTAAATGCGGGCTACACCACTGCAAAAACTCCTAAGCGTATCCATTATCTCACCGAGGACTTTAGGCATTACAATGGTCAATTGATGTTCTTCAAAGACAGCTTCGTTTGAATACGCGGGATGTAATATTGCGTGCTTAAGTCCCAGTAAGGGTTATTTCTGTACCCACGTCCACGTACACCGTATTGCTTTGTATGCTACTAAAAATTTGAACTCAACTTTTATAACGGACTGTTTATTGGTATATGTGTGTATGTTCTCAGTGATAGTTAGTGCCCGCTCTTGCAAGCGATTGGGTTAACCCTAACTTCAAACAACGTCTGTTGCACTATATCCCGACCCGCACAAAACGACCCCTCAACCTAAGCTCGGGAATGTATCATGTATATCAGACTTAGGTAACATAATACCAGATGCAACCTTGGAAATGCCTTAGTTCAAATATAAGCACGCAACTTTCAACTCTATGCGTGTCTCTATGGTTTTTTTTATTCAATCATGGGGGTTTCGAGCCAAATGTCATATTAGTAATCATACTAATATATGTACACGATTTTCCGGAAAGCCGAGATCGGTAACCACGGTTGTTCTATTATTCCATTGTGCTGGTATGTAATGTCAAGCAACCGAAACATGTATGAAGTATCTGTGGGTTGTGTATGTTTAGCAATTTTCTGAAAACCCGAGGTCGGCGACCAAAGTTTTTACTTTATTTCATTATGCTGGTACGTATTGTCAAGCAACCGAAGTATGTATGTAGTTTCTATGGAAGGTGTATGTTGACGATTGAATATTGCTGGTCATGAAAAGAATGTCAACTTCGTTCTGTTTGTACTTTGACTATTACAAACAAAATTCCACCGAATGACCCACGTACACGCTCAGAGACTAGATGGTATTACAGTCCTCTAAGGTGTTAGACTGTGGTAGCATCACCTGACAACTTTTCCGAATTCTAAAGCATGGCAAAACGTGTGTTTCAAACTCCCACGCTGACCAGGGGATCAAATGAACCACCGACAGAGGAAGTCCACTTATCTAAAGACTATGCTGAATTAGTGGAAGAAGGTAATAACTTTGTGGATAACGTTGATGTAATTACGCGTGAGGAATCAGTTGATGAATATATCGGATCCGTCACAAATGACGATGGAGTGGGTGATGAGGACGTGCGTTCGTCAACTAGGGGAATAGTTGCGCCAAATGTCGGTATGCTAATACAACATAGTGCGAGGTTCATTCACGATTCCGGGGATGTTTCTAATAAATCTCAATCGATTTCTGAAACTGAACCAACCCAACCTGTATTCATGCCTGCCGGTGATACAGCGGGAAAAGACGGGGATGGTGGCAACCTAGAGGTTGAAAAGAAAGACCAGCATACAGAAGAAGATATCTTAGATGATAGTGATACAGCTCAAGATAATCAATCTACTTCAAATGAACCACTCAATCAGCCCGAAATGCTGACAAGTGCGTTACCGGATGAGCCTGATATTATTGAAGTTGACAATAAAGATTATCACCGGGAAGACATAGAAGCTGAAGTAGATGTTCACCAGTCTGAAAATGGCGACGAGTTTGTAGAGGATGATGATACTGCTAAAAATAGTAATCAGGATTCAGAGCATGATTCAGAGTTTGGAAACTCTATAATAGGGAGTGAAACTGATCAGGTATCGGATTGTGCATGGGAAGAAGATCACGAAGTATTGAATCCTGTAGTCACGAACGTGAAAAGGTAAGTTACTATCAATGTGTACGTGACGCTCTTATTGTTATTCAATCAGCCCTGTAAATGCCAACCAATTATATAGACGCATTCTTGTAACGGGAGTTTCGATAAGCTTGTTATGTGTCTCCATCATTGCAGGCGAGGCTGCGTCATGTTACATGTTTGTCTTTCGATATTTGTTTGAGTTTCATATATTAGATTTTGTCGGTAATACTACTGGCACCATTAATTGTGATATCAAATAAACGATGCGTGTTGGGCTATTCAAATGAGAAACATATGTATTTTAACATAAATATGCTATGTGTTGTTAACCTATATGCTATAGATAGAATATTTAGAACTTAGAAAACCAAATGAGCGCATGTACAGTGTTGAA